CCCCCCGCCTTATTCTAAGAACTGACCTGATGATGACACCACACTACTGTCCGCTTCCATCGTAGGTGTTGATGAACATGTTGGTGACAAGATTTCTGTAGCACTGGGATAATTCGGTGGCGTATAGTCCACATTTTTAGATGAACTATTATTTAGATGTAATCTTGTTAAAATTTCCTGCGAGATACCAGACGAGGTCAAATCTATACTAACTTCTTTACTAAGACATTGAGCGTGGGGTGACGGTAATTTTGAATTGCACTCGGCCATTTGGGTGGAACTATGCATTGATGAATGTGATCTTGGACGATTGGAGTTAGTATTTTCTAATTGGTCTATTATAGCATTCGGTGAAGGTGCTGATAAAGGGGTCCTTGGATAGGCCTTCTGATTGAGCTTTTGAATGCGAGTACCATACAAGGGACTGTTTTCGCTTTCTGTGGGTGATTGGATATCAATCAAGTTTTTTTGACCCCACAAAACTTCAGGGGATAGCTTCGTGTCAAGTTCTTGCTTAATAACAGAAGAAGAGCCAGATGGGTCTGCTACCGGAAGATCTTTCTCTTTACACCAATGACGCATTTGCAAGTTACATTGCTGCAAGTTACATTGTTACAAGTCATTTCAATATATATATATATATATATATATATATACCGGGTGGCCCAAAAAAAAGTACTCCTGTTTGTTTCGTAATAACATCTAAACAAGTATAGCTTTTAAAGAGAAATAACTTGCATCAAATAGAGGAAGGACTAACTTAGACTTTGATATATTACAGTTGTATTTCACTTAAAAATTCACGGAGATATTAATCTTTAAATTCAGGAGGATATTTCTGGATGTGTCTGAAATATGCAAAAATCGGCGTATCAAATATTAATCAAGATTTGCCCGACTGAAACATGCACTATTACCAGTAAATAAATGACACTTGACAAATTGTTCATTATGAAACAAAGTATTATTATATCTACAAAATACAAGCAAGATTCATTCGTCCGAAATTCGCGTGTGTTCCTAGCACGAATACGTTTCCTTATTTCATGAGACCACTGCATCGCGAAGGATCGTCATTGGATCGTTCGTAGTTCTGAATTAGGGCATGCTGTCACAGCGGAATTGTGAAGCTCTTCTAACTTCTGCAACGTTCTGAAATCTTGTTAAGAACACCCAAACTCTTTTGCCGTTTCTTAATCTTGGCAAGTTCATGGAGTAAACTGAGAATTATATGAAACACAATCAAACCATACAACTCCATAAGACATAACAATTAAGCAGCTCCCCAGAGACATGCAACATTTTTGGAACAAAACGTAACAAAATAGTAGCGTTGATACGGTGATGTGTATTTGCAAAAAGCAATATTATTTCCTTCAATAAAGAATAGTCATCCTGCTCTAACCGAGAAATAATCTACTCAGTCTGTTTGAACCCATTAAAAACATAAAAAAATTAGGCTATTTAAGAATACGAAAAATTTAAGCGCCTGCCTTCCATGGTCAGTCTTTCATGTACATTTAAGTTTGCAAAGACCTAATATTAAATGCTTGCATAATTTCGAACGTTCATATTTCAGGAAACAATGAGCTAAGACTTACATGTAAGATGTCTAAATCTACGCCATATCCCTTACAAACCTTAACGATAATTCGCTGAAATACAAGTTAGCCTAATATGTCATTAAGCAAACAAACGCTGGAGTTAATATTTGATATGCCGATTTTCGCTAATTTTAGACACATTCCAAAATATGCTCCCCATTTTTAACATTATATATATATATATATGTATATATATATATATATATATATATATATATATATATATATATATATATATATATATATATATATATATATATATATATATATATATATATATATATATATATATATATATATATATATATATATATATATATACAGCTAATTCAATAAAGGTTGTCCTTTGAAAACCTTAAACTCTAAAACCTTAATCCTTAAACTCTAAGCGCGCAAAGCATTATGGTAGTACGATTTAAGCAGTTTAGAAAGCATATATGGAGCCCATTTCTTAGAGACATGGTAAATATCTCCCTGCGAAAACATTTCACTCACAAACAGCTGCAATATTCAACTACTAAGCTTGAAATCAGTGTTCCCATTATGCTTTGCGCGCTTAGAGTTTAAGGTTTAAGGTTTAGAGTTTAAGGTTTGCAAAGGACAACCTTTTTTGAATTAGCTGTATATATATATATATATATATATATATATATATATATATATATATATATATATATATATATATATATATATATATATATATATATATATATTTAAAGTCGTGTTTCCATACAATTTCTCGTTTTCCCAATTCCACTCGTGTTGATATAACTGTATATCAACACGGAAAATGTTTTATATTTGTTAAATATATATCATCATCTACAGGCCCGTAACTAGCTATGAGTCAACCGAGTCAGTTGACTCGGCAGGAATTTGGGGACTGAAATTTAAAGATGACCAGAAACCTATAAACCATGGCTGAAATATTTTGCTCATGGAAAAGGCATGAAATGGCATTTTAGGACGAAATTCTATTTTAGTTTTTCCAAGCAAAGATACTCCAAAGAGACCACCCTATCTTGCTCTTCAGTGGAAGAGAGCTAGAGAGAGATGGAGAGAGGGCGTGGAAACAGCAATACATGACTTGGGGCCATCCGTGATGCCGGCTCTGCGGGGGTAAGACGTTCTAATTGTAAACAAATATGGCGACGCGTATGACACTGGACTTCGCTAATGCTTTCCTTTCCCGGGGGTAAATAGCCGGTCGGAATTAGTACCTCGGACAGCGCTCGCGCCGTTGGCTCGGGGATTATGTTGCATTCATGCTGTTTTCATTCAGAAATCAACACAACCGTGATGGTATTTTACTACGGGGAGAAAAAACCCACCACAATTCTCTATGACCTTGCATATATTAACCTAAAATGAAATTATAAAGCTTTTTCGACAAGCGACTGAAACTCCAGCTGGAATTCACCGTGTTAGTAGTCTATGAATTGTGTCTCCGAAATATGTTATGGCAATGAAACAGTTCTGCATTTTATCCATTTTGTCCGCATCCGCATTTTATCCTTTTTGTCCGCATCCGCATTTTATCCCTTTTGTCCGCATCCACATTTTATCCCTTTTGTCCGAATCCGCATTGTATCCTTTTGACGGCATCCCCATTTTATCCCTTTTGTCCGCATCCGCATTTTATCCTTTTTATCCGTCCGTATCCGCGTTTTATCCCAACCCTTAAACCAGTAACAGCTGCGAAAAATGCAACTATACGCCCTCTGGCAGGAATCAAATCAAGCGCTCTAACCAACTGAGCTACAGAGGCCAGTTGTCGAGCTCTAACCACAAGTGACAAGTTCATGTATGCAAACCTTAAACTCGTACATTTAAGGTTTGCATACATGAACTTGTCACTTGTGGTTAGTCCAAGTTTCCATAGTCACATAATCCATGACTATTGAAAGACAGGAAGGTCAATCTCGTTCCCCGAGCCTGCGATCCTCGGGAAGGAACGCGAGGCTCTGGGATAATCCGTTTCAGGGAGGAATCTGATCGGCCATTGAAATGGAATGCGTAGTTCAATCTTAGCCAGGATTCTTGGCTTCCGGTAACGGATTATCCCAGAGCCTTCGATTCCTTCCCGAGGATCGCAGGCTCGGGGAACGAGATTGCAGGAAGGTAAGCAAACAAAATAACTTTATCCATTTCACCCAAATTCATTTCTTTATTGAACAACATTTAGTTGTTTTATAACATACTTTGGTATTAATATTTAAGAAGACCGAGTTACTGCGTATATATTAGTTTCCCGCAGCCCAGAAACTTTGATGGGGGTAAACCAGGCTTTACACCTGCAATTTCTGCTGTGATTTGAAGTCCGAATTTCTTCTGATGAGTGACGGATGTGAACGAGTTATGAATGTTCAGTTGAGGGTTCATATATACAGGGTGTATAAAAAAAAACGGAGTCGTCCTAAATATCCTTATTTCTATCGTAAAGTAAACTACCATAGTTTCGTTTTGTGCTCAATTTAAAGCTTGTTTTTTCATCTTTCGAGTGAAGGGTTTCTTGAAAATTTTGAACTTAAGGCTAATCGCAATAAAAAGAATTTAGTACAAGCGCTCGCTTTTAGATGCTTCGAAATATTAATCTTCGAAGTCCCCAAGGGACTTAATTAAAGGTAGTTCGCTAAAATTTAGAACGTTGTTATTTAAAACTTTACAATCACCATTCATAATGCCAAAGCTAACAATTCCGGAAAGAACATTCATTGTTGAAAAGTATTTTGAAACAAAAAGCGTTGTTGCAGTGTTAAGACAATTTCAAATAGCTTTTCCAGGACGTAATCTTCATCAAGCGTTTGGCGTAATGTCAACAAATACCGGCTGCATGCATTGAGTGGAAGAACCACCCCATAAAGTTTAAATCGAAATAAAGGAAACTCGGGAAGACTTGTCTTGGATATGAGACAAAGAACGAACTTGTGTGAACTTAGAAATGGAGGCCACGTTGAGTAAATGTGTACTTCCAACTTATTTTTTGGAACGTTTAAATAAATTGTGATAGATGTCTAACTTTCATATTCGCTTTGAAATTTACACTTCATGTGAGGACTCCGTTTTTATTGATACACCCTGTCAGAACATTCGTAACTCATTTACTCGAAAAGAAAATCGCAGCAAAAGTGTAAACGGCCTGTAGACCACCATCTGCATAGGGCAATTCACTCCAGTTTATAGTTGAACAAGCAAAAAATCAATGTCTTGTCACACACTGAGATCAACATCTATCTGGAGCAAGAACTTCGGTCGTTGCCATCGGGCCTAATAAAGCCAAGAAATTTTCTTTCTTTTTAAGAGGAGATTTTTTTAAAAATTGAGAAACTCGCGATCAAAAATACCGTGATGCTTTGCGAAAAAATAGTAAATTTTGTTGTTTTTTGGAACATGGCGGCAAAGGAGTGAACGTGTTTAAATTTTGCTCTATTGATCTCATGAAAACTCGCTCGATGTTACATCTAAGACATGAAATGGTATATTCAGCATATTTTCCTGTACTGGAAGTTAATAAAACGTCTCCACGGCGTTTTAAACAACAACAACGTGCTTCGAACTCTGGAGGTGTATACTTCGAATGCAGAAGCCTAGAAGGTACGAATATTTTAACTGCTTCAGTTCTGTTTTTATGTGGCTAGATCTTAAAAATAATTGCGTCAATAGCAACATATTTGTCTAAACTTTGTGTCGTTTCTGCATCGATTTGATCTTGGCCTCAGATATTTGTATTTTGCCTTTTGAAGTGAGCGACCTTTGTTCGACTTTAAAAGCCCCATTGTCGTTCGCTCCCACAAATTATCCTGCAAATACACCTTGAAATTTATGTTGATTTCACAAAAAAATTATTGCATGTGAAAGAGTGTTATCGTATGCCCAAATAAATCTCAATTTATGCATGTATTGAAGCGTACTGTGTTGATAAACGTCCATTTTCCTTCTGCAAACATTATTATTGTATGTCATTTTTCGCGCCAACTTACAAAATCGATTCACCTTGGATATTTTAGATATTTTTACGTTTAAACCAATTGGCGCACTGTGGGACTTATAGTACATTGTAGTACAGTCTTTGAGGATAAAAACAGTGCCTGTTTGAAGAAATTTTAGGTGAATGGTCCTCGCACAATTTTTAAAAGTAAATGTTTTAGTTTCCCATTTTCCTCACTTTTTGCTAAAATAGAT